ATTTAACGGAAACAATTTCAAGAATTCACATGGACAAGCACAGAATTGGTGAAAACAAAGGCACCCAACACAACTAATTTTATTTTAGTAGCTAGCACTTCAATGCCAGCCAACAAAATCTAACAGCACACCAGCCAAAAGTAGGAAGCGTTTGGCTGCAATTACCACAAGAATGCAAAATACAGCTGTATTACTGGAGGCCTGGAAATCCTAATGGGAGGGAAAAAAAAAAAAAAAAAAAAAAAAAAAGAGTACAAAACTCACATCTTACCTCAACAGTATCACCAATTAAAGGCACAATATCACCCAGTATAGGTTTAAAATTTTGTTGGTCATTGATGGTTAGTTCAGTCTGTGACTCTGTTCCCTTGCCGACGCTGGCCACTGTCTCTTCCTGAGGATCTAAACTGGATGCTCTGAGCGCAGCAGACAACACTTCCACTTGTGCTGCAGCATATGAAAAAGAAATACGTGAGACACTGAACTGCAATAAACTTTCAGCAAGTCCATAAATCACCTTTTAGACAGTGAGTAATTAACTGAAAAATGGTAGAAGAACTACAGGGGAGGTACAAATTTAAAATTATTGACTGTTAGCAAATTCCAAACTGGGGACAATTAGTGTAAAATGTAAGGCAGATTAACACTCCACTCTTTTCCTAGGGTTCTCAACCACACTACAGTTCAGTGAAATTTGTCTTTAAAGCAACCGTTTGATATCCTCTTATTCATCAGAAGAAAGCATTAGCACTTCACACTCTGCCATACACTCTCTTGAAAGAGATCCAGCAGTTCCGAGATGGCTCTCCTTTCCAGCTCTCTGCTTACCGCTAATTAAAAAAAGCTTTGTTGAGCCATGTTGCTTGGATATAGCCTGACCTAAGCAGATCAGGTATCAGAGGCAATCTCAGTTGCAAGCAACACAGAATTCAGTGCAGACTGGTCTACCCTGCCTCTCTCCTCCTCCACTTCTTTCCAAGAAGGTAAGGAGGAGCAGTCTACTGACCCATTAAATTTGCCCAGCCATCCAGAGGCTCTGTTCCTCATAAACTTTGGCGCTGAAATTACCCTTATCCCTATCAGGTCTCCATTTGGCAAAGCAGTCTGTAACTGGCATAAGCCAGTAACCTGCAAGTCAGGCTTTCTCTCTTCCCCTAAATAATATTACGAAAAGCTGACATTACATGATTTAGCACTTTCTGTGCAGAACATAAAAAGCTGAAGAAAGCGTCCTTGGAAAGAAAAACAAATAAAAAAAACATGTGGGGAAAGAAAAGCAACCTCTGAGGTAAGTAAAGATGGCAGCAGCCTCAGGGAGCTGTAAAAAAGGTGACCTGAATAAAGACCCTGTGATAATTTTTAAAAGCGCTGGCACACTTCAGAGGAACATGCAGGTTTCCATCGCCCAGTCTGAGACCCTCAGGATGTCTGGCCAGTGGATTGGAAAGGTCCTGTTAACAGGGATTACATACCAGTGCTCAACTTTGCACAGCTTGTATAGCTCTGCCAGCCAGTAGAGTTCGTCTGTGAGGAGACAGGCTGTCTTTATCTTAGTTGCTGAGTGCTCAACTACCTATTACTCAGATTTATCACTCTGGCAACAAGCCAGTTCTGGAAAGAAAGCCTCAAGGTAAAGATTACTGGGAGTCAGATTCAGCTAAAGCCGTTCACCCCTTTCTGAGAATGAAATTATGGAAAAATATGTTCTATGGCAATTGCTGGTCACTGTTAAAAAAAATTGTATTTGCTAGAGACCTCATCAGTCTCCATGCCTTGAGGCATGGATTCGAAGTTTGAAATGGAAACTGCTCTGATGATAGGGAGGCGCACTACAGAAATGCAGAAAACACAGTCAAGTAACAAAACTAAAAACCCCTAAAATAAGCAAAAACACCCAAAAAAACCACACAACCACAAACAGTTCATTCTGTATACATAAACAGTAACCCATTAGTGCTTAGCAGCCAAGACATCTGGAAGATTGGGGTATGCACTGAACATACTGTACTCTGGGTTGCAGGAGGAAGCAATGCCTTTCCTTCAACGGACCCTTCCCCTTGGCATGGCATGCTGAGGTACCCCTTAGGTAAAAACTCAGTTATCGTGTTCTCAATGCTCCTGCTATAGTGATGCAAGCAGGTGAGGGAACAAGTACCTCGCACAATACAGAAGGGTGAGGTGAGACAGGTGAAGCAGAGGAACACAAAAGCCAGAAAGGAAGAGAAATGAAAACAAAAGGAAATAGGAGGGAAAATATATACATAGGGAGGGGACAGGAGTTACAAAGGTATAGTAGTTGGTATGGATGCATATACAGCATAAAGGCGGGGGGGGGCGGTGCTGGTGGAAAGTCTGGAAACTGTGAAATCCAGTACCAGATCTCTACACCTGCCTCAGCTGTCAGGGACTCGCTCTGAAACCAGATAGCAAAATGGAGATTATCAACCTCTGTTGATTGTACCACGACAGACATCACCTTATTACCATCATCAGTTATTCTGCAGAGTCGAATAATAAAAAAATCAGTGTCAATTTAAGAACCTTCAAAACCCTTTGCCAATGACCCTGACCAATATGGTTCCACATAACAGGTATTAATTTTCTTCTTCTTTTTAAGTTTAGAAAATATTCTCCAAAACAAGCACCGAGAAGCTAGGTACAGCCAGAGCTAAGGTCATCTGAACAACTTAACCTTAATGACACATGCATAACATCATACACTACAGTTTCATTCTCAAACTACACTTTTGCTAACTCACCCCCACTTCAACTTGTGATGTCTCTAGGACGCTTGCCCGATCTGCTACAGAAACCCCAAGATATGTACCTATGGGAGCTCTCCAGTATAGCAGGCCTCCGCTCACCCACCACAGAGAACACAGCATCTTCTGCTCCCATCCCTTGGCTGAGAAAGCAGCGATAAAGACAGGAGCACAGCATGGAAGTCGGAGTCCAGGACTTGGGTGACAGCAAGCCAATGAAGAAAATAAGTGCAAGAAAAAGGTCACAGGGATTAGGGGGGGGTGTGTGTGTGTGTGTGAGATCCTAGCTTGCTTCGCCTTTACTGTCAAGAACCAGCCTGCTCACCGTACAAGACTCACAAAAACACAATGCCTAGTCTTGCAAGCAGGGAGGGAGAGCAGGAAAAGAACCTAAGCACCGCTTGGGACCAGGGCCATCTGGCAATCACTGGTAAACCACGTATACTAGAGAGAAAATTATCTGTGAAATTAAGAAGTTTCATAAAATTCTATGAAAATAACAAATTAAGACAACCTTTGGACTGAGTATTTATAACATCAGTTTGCAACAAGTTTTAGATGGTGAAGATGGAAGCATTATTCCTGGTATTGCCATGAGCAAATAGGTAGTCAGGGCTCTGATCTTCTGGATCACTCCAAAGGGAGTCTACCTCCCTCTTGCCACAATTTATGGAGTGTAAGGTCCAAAACACAGGCATTAAGTCAGCTACTTGGACACTGAAGTCTGGGTACCTACCACTTGTATGTGTGCTTTAGTGTTTGAAACAAGCAGGCAAATGAATAATATGCCTCAATGCACTTTGTGCAAAATTAAAATAGCAACATTACCAAATCAAAATAGGCATGTTGTTAAATTCCAGCTTCTGAAGTATTTAAACCGAATAATGAGAGTACAGGCAAGAGGACAAAAAGAGTACAAGGTTTAGAAGGTGTGTTTCATGGGGCTTCACTACACAGTCTTGACACAGTCAGAGGTACTGAACGGAACACAAAGGTGACTAAGTAATTAAGACCACTCACCCTAAATGAGAATAAATGGCACTGGTAACCCTAATTCAAATCTTTCCTAACTTGTGGGCACTGGGAACCCATGGTGTTGACAACCTAGTAACAGTTTTCTTCTACTGAAATGTACAAGTGCTAGTCAACAACTGCACAGAAAACCTCTTCACACTCAGGTCAAGAGAGCTACAAAAAACCAAAACAAAACACCTGCTCTGAAACAAGACATGGGGACACACACGACACAACCCGTAACACAGGACAATTCTGGATGTACAAACACATGCCTACATAAATCTTCAAAGGTGTTTAAGATATGTTCTGCAACTGGACAGGGCAAGATTTTATAAAACAAACCTAAACAGCAGTGCAAGTTTTAACACTGGGCTTCAGAGATGGGTTATGTGAAGACTGAGATCATTAGCAAGGCTGGAATTTTTTCTTATCTCTTCCCTTAGAGAGTGCCCAAAGCACTCTAAAAGCAACAAAGTCTCAACTGCTGTCTTCACAATAGATTAAATAGAAGCAGCCCAAAACAGATTTAAGAAAAGTTATTAGCATATCAACCTACTAGCAACAAAAAGAAGCCGAAAGCAGTTATCGGTGTATTCTAAAAAAACGTTTTTCCCCTCACTCCCAACTTGCCCCTCTTTTTCCTTCCTACTTTTTCTAGTATAGAAGCATGGTTTTCCCTAGGGATTCTTCAGCTCCAGAATAACATGGCTTCTTCCTTAGTGGTACCTCTGGACTTTCTGACTGTGACGCTTAAGCTTGATGTGCCTTAGGATTTATTCAGCATACGAATACCAAGAGAAACATGGCATTTGTGAAACAGCCAAGTCATTTCAGCCCAGGAGGTCTCTGAGGTGCTGCTCCACCAGCTGTCGTACTTATGAAACCGTTCTCCACCCTTCAAGAGCTTTTAAAATGGAGCATGTGCATTCACTTCAAGAACTCAGTTTGGATCAACTCCCAGTTTGACCCAACAAACTTGGCACACTTAAGTCAACAACAACAAACTGCAATAAAGACCTTGCAGAAAAATGGAGAAGACCAATTAATTTAAAATAAAATGGATAATGCATAAAATGAAAACCATTTATCACACTTCAATATTTAAAAAAAAATATTTTCCATGTATGCTAATTACAAATTAATTTCCTGATCAACAGCTTATGCTGTTGCACCATCTATTTGATTATACTGTCAAAACAGGCAATCAGAAGTTTATACTGCTAACTGTATACATACTCAGTTTATGGAAGGACTTACACTACCTTTAAAGATCTTCACACAAATGCAAGTTCCCTTTTAGTTCATCATCAACTTTCACAATTAAATCAAAATAGATATAACCTCTTTGAGGACCAGGAGGAAGTAGTACTTCTGACTTTTTAAAACAACTGAAAGGTTAAAGCCCAAACTGCTAAAGAAACATATGCGTATCTTCCAAACACTAAAAATGCTTCAAGTATCTTTACTATACCTTTAACATCTGGATCATCTATATGGGGTTCCAAATTTTCTATCATTTCTTCCAATTCTTTCCTAGTTGCCATCGGAATGTTTGGAGACACTGGCATAGTGAGTTCCTGAATTTCTCTATCAAGTATTATCTCAGAAGTCTGCTGAAGCTCCAAGTCAATATCTATTTCAGGAAGTGGAGTCCTCCAGAAATGGAAAGAGTTGTACAACTCCTGCTCTGAAAGAAAGGTTTCCTGTGAACTCAGCCTAGCCTCCCGCAGACCTACTGTACAGCAATGAGAACTTCGCTCGTTCTCATCAGCCATTTCCCCACAAGATTCTGAAGACAAAGTGCAATGGAAGGATGACTCAGTCTGGAAATCACTTTCCCTCTGGGAGTTATTTGACACCGTATTTCGATCTTCCATGGCATTTTCAAGTTTTGTTGCAAAATCATCATTATCAACACGTGAAGACAGATCCTCTGTCCTGTTGTGCTCATCCTCTGTTGTGACATCTTCAGTAGTCCTGACTTGTTCACTGTTGAGTGCCAAAGCAAATGAATATTTAAAAACCAAAATATACTTGTTGCAAACAGATGCTCTTGAAAATTCTCACACACACCTCAGCACGACCCTCTGGTGCATCAGCCACTCCTCCCAGTTTTGTGTCATCAGCAAACTTGCTGACGGTACACTCTACCTCAATCATTAATGAAGATGTTAAACAGGACCAGACCCAATACTGACCCCTGAGGTACATGACCAGTTACTGGCCTCCAACTACATGTCGCTGATCAGTGCCCTCCAAGCCCAGCCGTTCAGCCAGCTGTCTGCCCACCTCGCTGTCAGCTCCTTCAGCCCATACTTCATCAGCTTCTCTGTGAGGATCTCGTGGGAGACAGTGTCAAAAGCCTTACTGAAATCTTGGTAGGCTGTATCCACTGCTCTCCCTTGTCCACCAAGTCAGTCATTTCATTACAGAAGGTGTATCCTGCAGTATCCTAAGTTACTGAATAGTCATTATTTTTAGTAAATAACTGAAAATTCTGGTAGCCTATTGAGTAAGATGATACGTTCCAGATCTTTCCATTTACCAAGATAAATACTCAATTTATACAGGAAAGTTAATTTTCTTAACTTGCAGTTCACACAAAAGAAAAACAAGGAGAAAAAAAGAATTCGTAGATTTAGCAAATTCTTTACCTGTTTCCCTGTGCAGAACCACAATCTTCTGGGCTTTTACCATCTTCTTCTTTAAAGTACTGGCCACTGCTGGATGGGTTAGCAAAAGTTGATATGAAAGGCCCCAGAGACTGAAAAGCAGCTTGGCGGACCTAGTGCAAAGGGATCAAGGTTAAAA